AGATTGATAGAAAAAGATAACTAAGACAAAGGAGAAAAGAAGAAAATGTTTTTATCCTACGATTACACTCTTTTCATGAATCTCCACAAGCACACAGCCAAAGAGCCACAAGATACGAATCTTAAGACATACACCAACAAAACCATTTGAATCTAGGTATTATATCATCAGCTTTAGACTTAAAGACACAATAAATATCTCACTAATTCCATACCATCACTGGCTGTCTGTGCACAGCAGGTGGGCCATTCCCCACATCGTCTTAGTCAGTGTTTGGGCTTCTTACTACAGATTAAACATTAACCTGGAGCCACAATAAACATTACACAAAGTGATAACTGGACTTTAAGGTTACCCGTATGGCCAATACCTACTGAAGCAAGGCTAAGTAGTGGAATAAACATGGCCCATTACTGGGCGTACTGTAGATTCCCATCTAAACAACATATAATTTGGCTGTGAATAATCTACAGCATCGGTTTTGTGTTTTTGTTGGTCCTGTACGTTCACACCTACAGTATGAGCTGTTTTTGAAGGTTTCTGTAACCCTCTTAGCTTCTTTGTGTCTCCTGCTGTCAAGTTTTTTCTATTATGTCATAACAACAAAGAGTTTCATGCGTTTATGCAACGCCGACACCAGACAAGAGCTTTCCCCATTCTCCATCGTGCTCCTATTCACTCAATCGCTCTCTCGGTCAGGAACAGGCAGGAAAACTGCTGGCTCCTTCGCTACAGTAACCTGCATCTAGTTGGTTCAGTCGCGTAATAACAGCGCTGAGTGCAGATTAGCTGTCTGTGACTGTGTGACATGGTCTGACACAGCAGCGGGAGGTGGGAGGTCACAGGGGCTTCTGTAAACGGGAAACACAAAAGACCCCACCGCTGACGCTGTCCGGATGTCATGTTGCAGAGGCACAATGGGTCCAAAACACCAAGCAGAGTGCGGATAAAGCTCAGGATTGGTATTCTACCCCGGGAGGATGGAGGGATGTGGTTCGGGAGGGGAGTAAGGGGAGGACATTAATATAAAAAAAAGAAGAGGGGAGGGAGTGGACACTGCCCTGAAAAGCCAACCCTCTGATTGTGGACAACTGCATAAATCAGGATTACTGAAGGAATACTGCCTCAACAGTCACATCAAGGAAAATAAATTCTTGAAGCAACATGAAGCACAAATGTGACACACAACATACCTGGATCACATGGCTAATTTGGGGTGGAATGATAAGACCCATATACACTGGCATTTACACCAGGTATTATGATGGATCCTGGGGCTGATGAAGCGTGCAGCACCCCTCCCACCAACTCCCCACAGTCTTGGATATAATTCATCTGTGGCCATGCTTCACAGGACTGCTATCCAATCACTTTCAGACCTTCCGGCAGCAACTGAAAGGTTGAAAAGTACAGCTGAGACGCAGTTTTGTTTTCATAAAAATGTCTTAAGATCTCCTCTGATGTAATGAGATTTTATATATGAACATATATACACCTCAAGGCTTCAGGCTAATGCCATTATAAAGATAAACACTTCATTAGGACGATGGACTCAGAAGTGACTTAAGAAGTGTGGTTTCAAAGAGCTAAAGAAAGCAAGGTTTACTCATTTGAGTTAAGTCTCAAACTCTGCTCCTTGGTGTTACAAACCCATTGTTTTTCCCGCATCTTTTAGCAAGCTACCTTATTAGAGTCTATTTCTTTCATACCACATAAATTGAGCAGTATTTGTTTACCCAAAGTCACGTGACAGCATGATGTTACACATACAGCATCCAGCAATTCTTTAACCAATATAAATTAAAAATAAATTAAGCTTAAATTTCAAAATCTTTGTATAGAGTTCATCTATTAAATGACAAGTGTGAGACACTTAATGATCAATAACAGCCTTGTTAAGGGGATAAAAATCCATGAAGTTCTACGACCAGATAACCTTTTAAACATCTCCCTTTTGTGACCATAGAAAAATTATAAAACCACATTTATACAAACATGTCTTCTTCTTCTTCGGGTCATTCTCAATTTAATATAAACAGCTGTAAAGATAATTCTACACACTTCCTTTTCTCTCCCATTCTCTGCATTAATATCCATAGGCCAGACATAACAAGAGCTCGTGCTAGCATTCAAAATAGGCTTAGTCCTTTGTAATCTACCTGTGCTCAAATTCCAGCAGCTTACTGCTTGAAAGCATTTGTAAAGCGAGTAGAACGATGAATACATGCAAATAATAGCACAACTATCTACACAGTGTGTGCAGTCAACCCCACACAACAAGCTGAATGTAAAGCTCTTTGAAATGGCACACTCCTGTCCAAGAACACGGTGTTCCAAAGTTAAAGCAACACGTCCAAAAGAAAGACTGAAAAGCCAGTGGCCAAAAGTTAGGCCCGTCACTGGAGAATAACCCCAGTTTAAGGTTTAGGACTACAGTTTGGCAAGAACTGGACAATAAACAAGTTGTCTCTTGCCACTCAAGGCTATAAGTTTGCAACAGAAGGGTGTGAAAGAGTAAGGGATACACAGAAAAATCCAGTGTAAAGTCAGTGTAAACCAACACTTAATGCCTTCTCCGTGACTATATGTCAATAGATAGCACAAAGAGTTCAGGCTAGTGGCATGCACACACAAAGACTGTACATTTGGTGTTGAAAGCAGGCTGCCATCCATCGGCCTGGCTTAGGACAAAGCTTAAACCCAGTGATACGACATGCTGAGGTCATTCTGACATTCATTTTCATGAATTCCCTAATGGCCCACGCTCTAGATTCTCAGCTCTCCAGTGGCTGCAGCAAATTAATGCGTGAGGGCTCTCAGTGTCAGCCCATAAGAAAGAAGCCGCTCCTGTCTAAAAGGCGGTGTGAGTTTCGGGTTTTGGTTACACCAGGGGGAGAAGCAGGGATAGGGAGCACAGAGAGGAGGTTGTTACGACTAGCTTTGCTCTGGGGACACAAACAGAAGGAAGGAACTGTTTCCCATACCAGTAACCTGGAGGAGCCCTCCCTACTTTAACCCAACAAGATGGACTCGTCAGCTGAGAATCTATGTGTTATGTAAGACAGTCCATACATATAAACACACATGGCTTTCTTCCACAACATTTGCTGACCACTGCTCACCAATGCCATCGTAAAAAACAAACATAAGTCATTGTATGGACTTAAGCAGGTGGTATACTGAAACAGCAAACCTGCTCTTGCCTGTCAGTCAAGTTGCTCAAGAAGGACAAGAGGTGACTGTGTGTGCTGCAATCCTTGAAAACTCTTGGTCTGCCTGCTTCACCACTCTGTCATGGCTGCCATAGCCTACACATTAGCGGAGTCGAGCGCGGGGGGGGGGGGGCAGAAACTTGCTCAAACAAGCACTGTTGCTAGCTAGCAGACGTAATAAAACGCCTTAGGCAACTGGCCAAAATAACAACAGACATGTAGCTTGAAAAGAACATGCTGCAGCTTCCTTGTTGATGTGTACTTACACACTGCAGCCACATGCAGTTTCAAATGTATAGGCAGCTGAATGCAGCTCTAATGTGATGGTACAAGGCAGGATGTATTATGAAATGTAGAATCTCTATTGCATAATCAGATATGTAAGCAAACACAACTAAAAATATAGTAATTCTTCAATTTCATTAAACACTTAAAAGGGATCAAACTACCAAGATTTTCAAACTTTCCCTTTTTAATCGCTATGATCACCCTGTTGGGACAACTTTCCCTTGTTTTTGGTTCGTTTTGACCAGCCCTGCTCTAACCCCATATTTGACTAAGCTGTACAGCCATCCCATCAGCTGTTCTTAGTCCCTCCCTCTTGTGGTTTCCGGCTAGTAACAGGCTACCCAATCATTAAGCTGGTTTCCACTGTGCTGGGACAAAAACAAACTACTTGTTCATACTGTTTTTCTAGAACATTGCATGGACTGGAAATGTATTGTTATGGTCTACTTTAGAGCTCCCTCTGCACAGCCCCAAGTGAAGTTGAACAAATAAATCAGCAGCACAAAAGTAAACAGGGCGACTTGAAAAGCAGAACACACTGGATGTTGCCTAAAAGTTCAAGTATTCAACAGTGAAAACGACTGCAGGCTCATGACACCTGCTGTACCACTTCACAAACAGCTGCCACCTTCACTCCCAACTCCAATATCTATGAAAAACAACACATTCCAACCACTTAGAAATGACACAAGTTACCCTGCCATATATTTGCCTGCAGACACTGAAGTACAGTGAGACACACAGATCAGGTGGCCATTTTGATGTTGAAATTAACCAGCACACTAGCCAGCCAGCTCAGCAGCGTTACAAGGTAACATCTCAAGTGGCAGAGGCAATAACACAATTAGAAAACCCTCAGTAGGGTTACAAAGCAAAGCTAATGAGACCCTGAATGCAGCATTAACGCCAACGTGTTTTTTACGAGCAGAACAAAAGACAGCAGCATTTTCAGTTGACGTTAGCCTTACGTTATGTAAACAAGCTCCAGTGTCAACGTGTAAAGGGGCAGTTTGACAACAACAGGCTGAACAATGAAAAGAATAGAAATTAAAATGGCCATAAGGTGTTTATACAGTCTACCGCTGCCAGGTAGTGGTGCAACAAGATGACAGACATTCCTGGAAAAGGAGAGTAACGTTAGCGTCTACTCGGCTGTTGCAGTAATTTTCAAATATAGACACCAAGCTAGACAGCTAACGTTACAAATATACAGAGTTGGACAAATGGACATGGGAGCGATGTGATTAGCGTTAGCTAACACAGCTGTCCCGATAAGCGACTGAAGCTTCGCAGGACAGAAATAGCTAACACTTGGCTTTGCTAGCAAAATGTTGTTTACACAAAAACATCAGTCATTCACAATGAAAGCTCTTTCTGCTTTGGGTTACGAAGCTAAACAGGCAGCATCGACAAATACCTCGTATCACATTTTCACATACATCAGGACATAGCTGACGAGACAGCGAATGAGCGACTGTTGTTTATGTTCTGAAAGGATACAGTTTCACCACATCGGTATCCATTCGCCTTTTACCCGGACTTGGAGACGACATTTTTCCTATTTCCACCGCAGAACACCAGTAAGTAAACCGAAAGCTAGCCCCCGAAACGCTAGACAGTCTAGCAAACGGTACTATCCGAAAGTTAACATTTGCCTTCGGAAATGTTCACAGCAAAACGTCCTCACAGTCCAACGTCTCTGTCCTAGTGAGTAGCTGAGCTAACGTTAGACCTCCGCTGTTCACTGCCTCTCATCGTTCTGACCATGGTTCTGACAAGCTGGGATCCCTCCGCGGACTACGTCATAAATCTGCGACGTTACGTCACCACAAAGTGCTGTCTTTGTAGTTTTATGTAGAAAACCTTTGGTTTTCTATCTTAAAATGCAAGTGAACGTGCCATTTGACACCACTTACACTGTTATTTTATATCTAGAGATTAAGAAACATTATAGAAATAAGACAAAGAAGAAACCTAAGTGTGAAGTCTTCAGGATTTTGCAATAGAGTAGGTTGCCCTCATTTCTGTGGCACTGGCTCTGTCTTGGTTTTGTCTGTCTTCCATGTTCTGTGCCAGAGGAAGGTGACACACCCACATATGTCAAAATAGCTGGCATCTGACAATCCTTGAAATCCCAATGACACTAACAGTGAAGTAAATGTTGCAGCACATAGATCTTTACATCTCATTTGTGCCTTCTCCCTGCTAAATGACCAAATGAGATTTAAATGGATGGTTCAAAATGTTTAAAGCAAGACTGCATAGGGGGAACTTATCCATAGATATTATATTACATACAGTCAATGTCAGCTGGCACACACAGTTTGCAGAAGCAGGCTCAAGTCAAACATGGACGCCAAGCAGTCTTCTGCTGTGGAGGCGTACGCAACAAAGTACATTTAGCCACCTAAAAAAAATCCCCCCTCAAAAAAAATCAGTTTAATTGTATTTCATTTTCAACGGGAAAATTAAGCCTCTCTTTCAAGCCAGACTCCATTGAGAAAAACAGTGATTTAACACTGCTGAACACAGCTGTTGCTGGTCGAGCACTGCCTCAAACATTCATTTTGTTTGTGTTATTGTGTGACTTTGGGGTGTAAAAGGGTTAGTACAGATTCAACAAAGTCACACAATAACACACACAGTAACAAACATGTTAAAGCAGCAGTAGACCAGCAGCTCCTGTGTCCAGAGATCTAAAATGACTGTTTTGTCAATGGAGTCTGGTGGTTCTGACAAGAGCAAAGATGGAGAACTGAAGCCATTAACAGCTTTCTTGTTGGAACAAGCTGTCTGACAGAAAGGTAAAGCAGTAAGAATACTGTCAATATAGCATACACTTAAACTGATAGATTTTTTTAGATCCAACTTATTTAGGTGGCTAAAATAAGTTTTTTTGCTGAACCCATCCACAGCAGTACATTGTTTAGAATTCATGTCCGACTCCAGCCTGCTTCTCCAAACTGGGGCATGCTGACCACAGTTCTAATGTATGTAATACACTGACTATGGATAAGTACCTCATAAAACCTCACTTCAAAAATCTGGAATATCCCTTTAAGTGAAGTTGAAATATACAGTATACAAAAAAAGACCGAATGAAGAGTGTTTTCAGGAGCACAATCATGGCTACAAACATTCATACCATTGCTCCAAGGATGCCCTCATACCTGCTCAGATAACTGCAATCGTTTTTTCATGTGTCCTCAAATGATCCAGCGACAAGGCTGCCTATTGATAAACACATAATAGTCATTTGTATAAAACTGTGTATTCTGAGGAACACAGTGTTTGTGTAACTGTCATCTCTCTGAACCAGAAGTTAGGATGTTTACAGGCAACAAAATGGCTGCCAGTGAGTGAGTGCTGAACAGTAACATAGAGCAGCAAATGGAATAGATGAGGTAATCACAGATCACATTTGTGTAAAATCACAGAAAACCTTTCAGAAGTCAGTCACTGTGCAACTTGCAACAGTTGGTACTAAAATATAATCTTCTATCTATAATCTAACCATTTCATTCTTCTTCTGTTGAGTGACAATCTCAGAGGATCAACATGCAAAGTGAAACAAAACTTTCAGAAGAGCATTTTATTAAACCCTTTTAGGAAACTCTACGAAGATAAAAGCACATGCAAGATAGAGAGGACTGCATTAGCAGTGAGATGTCAAAGGAAGGCAAAAGGAAGTACAAGCCATCCTGAAACTAATAGAAAACAGGTTTGTAGCTCATGGCACGTGGTTCTACCTGCCTGCAGTAATCAGGATTGACAAAATGAAAACACTACTCCAAAAGGATTGTTCTTTTCAAAGAGAACTCATGTCCACGTTAACTTTCAAGCACAACAGTACACACACAGAAAAATGACTTCCTCACAGTTTGTTTTTTGCTAATCTGAGGTTAAAAATTGACCACTCCCTCATATGACTCAACATACATTGAAGGTAAACATTGCCTTTCCAGTGTCAAGCCGTTTAGCCCGTTCTCACAGATCTCTTGTCTCTTATATTCCACAGAAATACATACTGTCATGTTGTCACGAAGACTACCGAGGCAGACTTCATGTGAGGTTAGTAAATGCCTTCTTTGTGGCCAATTGGTACACTGAGATGTGTTCTATGATGACTACGTACTGTATGTATACACATGATCCAAGGGCTGTAGTGGCCCCTATATCTGCACATCCCAATCAGAATTCAAAGGTTTAAAAGCCACACTGGCATCCTTCACATAAGTCACTGTTCACAGAGAAGACACTCATTCATTTGCCTAAAGACACATTCCACTTCTTTTCCCTCCAGAAACACTTTGACTGTAAACACGACTTTAACGGATGGCATACATCGATATGATACGACACTCCTGTCATTGGTACTCCGGACTCTGTGCCACAGAAAGAAAGAGGGCAGTTCATCGGTTCAGTGTTGCGATGCTGTTCGGATGGAAACAGTCTACTGAGACGGAGAGGAGGATACCTGCCACTGACGGAATATAGCAAACACCCTTTTAGACTTGTCACGGGGGCCCTTGCAGGAAAAAGAGAACAAAGAAATGTCAGATATTGTTTAAATTAAAAGCTGTATGGCCAAGTGACACCAGTGAAATAAGGAAACAAAGTTCATAAATCTTGACTTGCCTGTCCTGGACTGCCTCCTGCTGTATTGTTCTTCTTCATGGGCATGAGGAGATCTAGAGCAGCCTTCCAGCCCTGTTGATTAAGTGTTGAGTCTCGATCAGACAACGTCCCTGGCTCCACATTCTCCTTTCCCACAGAGATCCAGGGACACCAGTCTCTGTGCTGAGCGAGGGGGTCAAATACGTTCTTGTGCATGAGCTCATCCTGAAAGAGAAGGAATTAGGTTGTAATTTAAAAGTAAGAAATGCAAACCTTCTTTCAAATTTAAAGGGTCAGTCCACCCCAAAATCATGGAACACTCAGCTTGTGGAGCTCAAAGCACCACAAAAAAAAAAAAAAAAAAACAAAAAAAAAAAACAAAGAAAAAAACAAGAAAATGCAACAGCAATGTCTCTTTCCAGACATGATCCTCTTACTTATGATATCCCACAGACCTTGTTGTGAGCGGTTTCACGTAGGAACTATTTTCTTTCTAGCGAAGTACATCCACCAACCGTATCACTACGCAGAAGGAAACGTACATCTACTCATTGATGAGGGGCTTGTGCTTGTGACAGTACGAAATGTAAACATTTTTTCCACTCACTCTTACATAATAGTGGCATAATTTTCAGGTGTTTGATGATTGTATAGTGTTAACGTCCTGTGCTATGACTATGACGAAACACTGCTTGCAAAGTAGGGGTTTTTGACCGTTATTGTCATCTCAGAAGAATTTCTGCTCCCTCTACCTGTGTACAATTCATCATCATTGTCGTTTTCGTCATTGGCTGATGTTACTTATACCAACTATTTCTTTTGGTGTCTTATAAACCCATGAGGGTTGGGCACTTTTAGGTGCATGACACGGGAATAAAAGAAACTAAAATAAACTATACCCCCAGGATTGAACCAGTGTTGATTTTGTATTAGAAAGAGTTAACCAGCACTGACCGACTCGGCTTCACCATCCAGGTCGAGAGGTGGATTGTCAATTTTAATGTGAAAGGCACACCACCACAGTTTCTTACAACCAGGGTGGGACAAATTATGGTTGCCAGTGAGGGGTGCACAGTTGTGACGCAACTATCACAGGTCGCCACAGTAGAATGTGGACACCTGACCTGAGCCTGATGGGACCCGTCAGAAGACGATGGGTTGGGCCAGGTTCGGATTACAAATCAGAAATTTTGCTTGGGTTCGGTCACTTGACATGCTGCTGTGTTGTGCTATGGCCTATTCAAGTGCTGGAATTTACGTGACAGCCTGAACACAACACAGGCCAATAGTTACATTTCAGGCAGGAGGCAGTAAATATTCAGACTGAGCTAATGAAAAGGGAGGACAAGCTGTAACCATGATAACAGTTACTATGTCAAGGAACAAACTGCGTCAGGCTCAGTTATAACTGTCTCAGACTCAGGTCGGGTTCGGTCAGGAAAATGCGGCCCGAGTCGCGCTCTACGCCACAGCCAATAAACAAATTCTAAGATGACAGCGTAAACATTTTCAGTTGCAATTGAACTATGTGGCATACCACTTAACATTGTTTATGGCTGTGATTATTTTTGTGATGTTATAATATATAGTGTACAGTGACAAACTCAAGTGCGAAACACTAGTTCTGAATTTAATGTGTCTACTCCCCACCCTTTTCCAGCACCTGAGGTAATTGGTATGCATTGCATCCAGGTTTTGACCCAGGTAATTTCTGAATTATCATGACCAGGGATTAACCCATGTTGGCTGGACTGATTTGAACTGACAAAGGAAAGGCTGAGCACAGGTCAGATAATCCCTGATCACTGGTGTAAAAAAGGTAGCCTATTAATAAGAAATTAGCTGCACTGACTTCTATGTAACAGATCTGCTCGGTAATACAAATGTAGAAAAAATCTGTCATGCACAAATGAGACTGCATAGAGGTGAGAACTAAAGATGTAATGAATGATGAACTGTGCAGCACTATCTGTTAAAATCATTGACAATACTCTCAAAACATCGCCTTAATGACCAGGCAGCACTGTCTTAGAAGTTAAGAAGCCCTGCGCCTTAATAAAGCATAAAAAACAAGACGTGAAATCAGCAATAATGTTAGTTCTTACAGGACCACCAAATGATGAGAGGCACAGGCGTTTAGGAGGGTGATACAGGCTGGCAGCGCCATCAGCCCCAGAGTTGTCCCCCTGTCCTTTACTACGAGTCGCAGGCCTTTTGCCCCTGGGCAAAGGACTCTGCAGCTCTTCACTGGGGCTTGGTGAGTCTCTGCTTCGGGCACGCAAAGACACAGGGGAGGCTCCCTCACCCTGTAAGACACACCAGAGCATGGTTATAAAAAGCAGTTTGGTACGTTTTCCATTGTTATCGAGAGAATCCTTGCTGATCAGCTTTCATTTGGCTAAAGCTTGCCTGGTCAGAGCGGGTGGAGTCCTGGCTCCTCAGCTTCATGCGACATGGAGTTGTAGCAGGGGTGGATGACGCAGAAGCAGGCTGGTCCACCTGACCCTCATGTGGGACTGTTGAGGCAGGACCTGTTGTGTGAGCAGGGGGGCCTACAGTGTTGGGTGAGACATCTCCATCACCTGATGTTCCCTCCATCTGGTGGAAATTCCACAAGCCCACCTTGCGCATACAGTAGGAGCAGGTGAGGATGGGCAGGTTCATCGCGTGCAGAGCTGGGCTGAGATAAAGAAATCCATGGCTCAGACATCTCGATCAGGTGGGGGAGTGCTAAAAATGTTAATGCCATGTTTTTCTCGGTTTCCTGAATGAACTCCCCTGAACTTTCATTGTATTTTCTTTCATGCAACTATTTTCTCTATTAAAAATTTGTGGAAATTAGCTTCCATGTTTGCTAACTCAGGTTTATGGCAATATATGTATATATAGAGAGATAGAGATGTCATTTCTTTAAAAGTACATAGTGTATTGAAGAGTCAAGAAGGGTTTCATCTCACCTTGCAGCCCAGCCACAGAGACAAACAATGCATGCAGCCACCTGGACCGCCAAAGGTTGAGAACATGGAGAATCTCCCTTTCTTTTTTGTTCGTCCTCTATCAGCTGCAGTATAACACTGATAACATCCTCAGTCAAAGACTGCAAGGAAACAGTGGAGATTAATTACATGTCATGTTTTCTAATAATTGAATACATCTACACATAAAGTTCACATTTTTCAACAATGAATATGACCTCCAGGAAAAGGCCCTTTTTGTAATGTGAACATAATGCTTAAGAGTGCGTTAGTGCGTAACTCTTGAATTCTCTCCTGCCTCACCATAGACTTTAGCTGCTCTGGCTTCATGGCAGGCAGCTGCTGTGCAAGGAGACAGGTGCGCTGGAAGCGCTCTAGGAAGGCAGCGAGAAGTGCTGATGGTTCACAGGCTGGAACCAGCCAGTACCGCTCTGAAATGACATCAACATTCACCTTAATATTTGTATAGATACCTTGTGATTTAATCAGCTGAAATTCAATGGTCATGTTATACATCATTTTTGTTAAAATACATATGCAGTACAGAGTGCTTGCTCCTACCTGGACATGGAAAGTCAGGCCAGGGGCAAAACTTTTCATGCTGCGTCTGAAGTTGCCTTGATATCTCTGCAATGCGGGTTCCATCTATAAAAGAAAAAAGGATAGTGGCTTGACCTTTAATTTTTGGCAGTCTGGCAACATCAGCCTGACCTTGCCAAAATAAAGTGTGCCTTTGACTTTTTCTGAGACTTTAAAAGTGTTGCTCACATTTTTCAAAGTCTAAAGTTGGTTGTAGTGATGCACAAAGGAAAGCCTGGCAGCTGGAGCACTTGAGCATATCGCAGCCGACGTTGATCCAGCCATATCTGGCACACATCAGGGGGGACAGTGTGCGGGGTTTGCCTGCCCATTTCAAACAGTGCGATGCTAAGGAAAATCTCACTCTGACACAAACCAAGTATTGTCACATTCATTATTACTCAGGACATATCTATACATTTCTGCCATGGATCATCTGCTTTATCTTACATGAAACTAGGCCTGGGCGGTATCAATGTATTCCCACCTTCGTTCCTTCCTGACATTTCACCAGGGTCAACAGTACATGGCAATATTTGTGTATTAAAAGCGTAAAAGCTGAGCTACTGGTGACAGAAGTTATTGCAGTAAATATGTCATTGTCTAGCCTGCAATGCTGTGTTTCTAATACACAGTTAGCCTACCTAGACAACATGAACAGGCTACATGAAATATTAAAAAACACCAAAATTACAGATCAACAACTGCTGTCTTTATCAGTGATCAACTGGTTGTGTAATACAAGACCAACCGTGGATGCCTCATACTGGGTGAAAAGGTCAAAATGGGTAAAAGGATATTGAATAGGACTCCACTCTTGAGAAAAAGGCTTCTTCGTTCGTCGCCTGACAAGGTGCTTGAGTGTCGCTTTTTACTTCCAGAACTTTCCCATTTCCATGTCCACTGAAATCCAAATAAAGGGAAAACATATTTTCAGTTTCAAGACACTTGCTAAGTTTATGAAAGATGACAACAGCTGACACTGATTAAATTAATGTGTACTGCATGCACTTGCAAGCCGCAAGGCCTTTGACCCAAACCAAGAAACATGACCACATCACACCAGTTTGTTTTAGGACTGACTTTGAAATCTTACTGATTACTTTTCAGGCTCTTCATGGCCTGGCTCCAGATAACATGTCAGACCTGTTAGTCTCCTATGAACCTCTGCATAGTTTGAGATTCTTGCTTGCTCCAGAGTCCAGGCCCCAAGTCCCAAGGCTCTGGTATGACCTGCCTGAGGGTATATAAGACTGGCTGAGTCACTGGCTTCACTGAAGCCTCTCCTAAAAACAGATTTCTACAGAAAGTATATCCTGACTTAATCTGAGCTGTCTGTCTATTTCATTGATATCTTATTGAAAATCTTATTAATTACTTTTAAGGCTCTTCGTGGCCTGGCTCCAGACTACATTTCAGACCTGTTAGTCCCCTATGAACCTCTGCATAGTTTTGGGCACGTCCCACTGGTAGGAGGCCCCGGGGCAGACCCAGAGCAAGCTGGAGGGATTACATATCTCATCTGGCCTGGGAACATCTTGGGGTCCCCCAGGAGGAGCTGGAAAGTGTTGCTCAGCCTGCTACCCCCGCGACCTGGCCTCGGATAAGCGGATGAAAATGAATGGATGGATAGTTTGAGATCCTCGGGCAGAGGTCTTCTGCTTGTTCTAGAGTCCATGCTGAAGACAAAAGGGGACAAAGCTTTTGCGACCAGAGCCCTGAGGCTCTGGTATGACCTGCCCGAGGATACAAGACTGGCTGAGTCACTGGCTTCGCTTCAGTCTCTCCTAAAAACGGACTTCTTCAGAAAGCATATCCTGACTTAATCTGAGCCGTCTATTTGAAAGCTACATTAATTATGTTATTTACATATTTATTATGCTGATCATGATTTTAGTTTTCGCCTTCCTTATTTTATCTTTTACTCAGCCAACATTTCATAACATGGTGTGTTTCACGCTCCTGCGCAGTGTACAGCACTTTGTTAACTGTGCTGTGACAGGTGCTATATAAATAAAGTTTATTATTATTATGTTGCTATTATAAGATTGCTAATTCCTCATAATAAATGTGCACAGATAGGCTGCAATGCTTGCTGCAGGCCTACATTTAATCAAACAACAACAATTTTCATACAACAGGCAGCACAGTAGCAGTAACATACAGTATTTCATTTGAATGAAAGTTGCGTAACGCGAGAAAAAAAAATGGAGAACAGCTCCATTCTCCCGAGCTGCAAAACCTGTCTACCACAGTAATGCATGATAAATTAATTTAACTTGGTAGCTGGACACCTAGTTGAAAACAGTCCAGAAATAAATAGCAAACTCACAGAGTGCCATGTTACACAAAACTTTAGGTCCCCACCCCCCTTATCTGTCGCGTTCACGCGAGCGATAGCACCATGGCTACCAAAACAAATGTGTCCGGCAGACGGACTAAACAACAAGCAAGCACAACAGTGTTGTCCAAACGCCTGCTCCTGGCCTACAAGCTCCCAAAAGCTGTGGAGACTCGCCAATCTTCAAAATACGCCGAGTTTAGGCGGCTAAAGAAGCACAGCTCTCGAGGCTAAGTGGCTAACCAAATTAGCTTCTGTCAACTTCTTCTTCGGCCCCTTCAACTCAAACAAACCGCGCGCGACCGTTCAAAACCCGCACCTGTTGGATCCGTTGTCTGCTGATGACACTCCTGCGTTAAGAAGTTCACGGACTTTCTCCGGAGATGCGAACGAAGACTTTTGTTGATTAGTGTTGCCGAGACGATCCCCGCGACTGCCGCCGAGAGTCGCCATGATCGGCTCTGTGGTCCCCCGGAAAATAAAACCTGAGAACAATCGTTCCGCTTTGTAAGACCCCAACCACAGCACATGATCGGGCCCACTGACCCTCCTTGTGTTCGTCACTGACAAACTCATTTGAATTTTGTGTTCTTTATCTGGCACAACATACCTATCAGAATGTCCTTTTTAAATATTTATCCAGAGGGTATTATTTATTCATCACAACAGAAAACCAGAGCCATAAAAGTGATTTATTATGAGGCAGCTCGATTCAGGGCCGTAGCTATGGAGTCATGGAGGGGCCAAATTTGCCAGGGGTTCTGAGGCTTCCCTATTTCCTATGTTAAATTATTCATTATTTATTATTTATCATAGTAAAGTATAGCTATACAGTCCTACTATATAGTTATGCTAGATACGAAAACTACTGCTGTCTACATAGACTCCACATTCAGCGCAACATAATTTATTGGTATTTTACTCAAACTTCATGTGTTCTATATAAAATAATAAAGACATTAATCTTATTTAAATATGTCCATGAGCCTTGTCTTGCAGCGCTACAACAACAAAATTTGGACAAACCACACGCAGAACTGCAGTACACTGTAAATCTAAAACTGGGAGTAATAATGATGGGAATTTGTTAAGTTAATTTATGATTATGACTGCATTTTCTAATAAATATTTTGGACAGAAGTGTGTTGTTGCCTGTCATGCAATAGCACTTTTTTTGGTTTATGTTTTATAAGTATATTGGGAGGAATATTTTTTTACCATATTTGAATACTGGGGCAATGTGTCCCTCCCAATATAAATTGTAATAACTGCCTTGGCTCATTTTATCATTTTTTTTATTTCCATAAATTTATTGGCAGATTGAGTTACCTTATTCAAAGTAGAATTCGATTTTAATATTTTTTTTCCCTATTTTACACAGAATAAGCAACCTCACTTTATTTTCATGCACAGTCATAGTTTTTTCACTCTGGCCTTAAACACACACATGCACAAACAGGACCTATACATGCATTAAATGGATAGGCGCCCTGAGCAGTTGGGGAGTTATGGTCTTGCTTAAGGGTGCCTTGGCCAGCTACCACCAGTCTATGCTCCATATTTGGTCTGGACAGGGACTTGAGCAGGTGACCCCCTGGTTCCCAACCCAAGTCCCTGATGACTGAGCTAGTATTGCCCAACTTGATATTTACAACCTCGCAAGGAGTTGAAATGCTTCACTTTAAAGCGTTTTTATGACACGGTCTACTATAGGGGAAATTATTAGGATCCTTTAAGTACAACAATGTAAAAAAAAAACTCTATCACTATCACAAGTAAAAGTCCTAAAAGAAGCACAGAAGTGGTGTCATCACATCCTCATTGCCAGCTCATGGATCAGTCTAAGAATCAAAGTAAGATTTAATATCAAGTGGGCCTACGTTTTTACTTACAAGGAATTTGGTGTTCGGTGCATACAATAAACATATTAAGTGGATATTAAAATGAAAAGCAAAGTACTGCAGTGGTCAAGAATGTAATTACAGAACAGGACATTTACAATACAATATGAGAAAGATACTATAAATAAAATGACATAACAAATACATACACTAGAATGACAAAGCTGTTCAGTTTTGTGCAAAAATATTGAACAAGATATGTGTAAGAGTTCATTGTATGGTAAATATGTGCAATGTACAGGGATAAGAGTCCAAGATGTGCATTAATGTAACACACAGAGAGCCCCCTGATTCCTCTTTTCTTTACTCTCCCCTTCCTCAAATGAAAGCACAGATTAAAACTGGTGTTAAATTCGTCACCCGATCATGACCATGTCGTCTGCCTTCCCCCCAACCAAGCACATACTGTAACACCAATGTTGCTAATAATACAGATGACAGAATGAGTGAACAGCTCTTCCCTGCCTGGGCTGATGTGACTGATGAGGCCAGCAAGGTCACCAAAAGTTTGGCTCATCAGTCTCCTCCCATCTCCCTGCTTCAGGAACATCTGTAACAAGCTGAGATCAGGGATAAGGGGACTGCATGTGATGTTAACAGATGCCAAAAAGCTGCACTCATATTGGCAATGGAGCTCCTACTGTGGCCCTCACCTATTCATAGAAGCTTGTGTTTTCTTTGAGATGACAATCTCTGTGCACACACATTCTCAATCAGTTGGAAATCAGAAATTAATTCAGGCTTTCTCTTCCACGCCCACCCCTACTTGAGTCTCACCCAGTGAACTTGTAGATAATATCAGCTCTAAAATTTCAAATGTTGTCATTGCCCTCACTGAGGTAAAGGTAGTCTCTGGTAAAAAAAAAAAAAAAAACACCATGGAGGAATGTCATGTTGTAAGATGAGAAAAAAAGAGTGTTCAAAAGCTGACATTTACAAAAAAAAAAAAGATTTTGCGTTTAGAATTTAGAACGAAGAGATGCAAATCAGTCTTACTTGTCTGGCATAAAAGTCGCGGTCTTATTTGCTGCTGTTGATAGACTGACAAATCCTGCAGCTGTCTACATTTTCAAGTCTGCAATCCAGTCGAGGTACTTGGTTAAATTCCACCACTCCTATATGTCATCCTGAGTCCACCTTTAAAGGAGAACGTGTCCTGTGGAGGGCACTATTTAATCACTTTGAGCGCAACTACCAGACTAAAAGTTGACTGAAGTCAGGGGGTACCAAATATCAGGGACACTGCCGGACCTAGCACATTCAGCACCCTTGGTCTGAGGAACATGACGAAGAGTTAAAGGCATCGACCTGGCCTCCACAGTCACCAGATCCAAATCTGATTGTGCTGAGGTACCACCAATCCACAGTGGGGCCTCCTTGGATCAGACTTGTCTCTGACATGTCAAGGCATGGACACAGGACCTCTTAAAGATGTCCTGTGGTGTCTGGCACCAGGGCGTTGGCATTGGATCATTTGAGACCTGTCAGCTGTGAGGTGGGTTACTAGCACTTCCCAAGATGCTCAGTGAGACACCTTGAGCTTATTGTCACGTTCCTCAGGCCATTCCTCAGCAGTTTTTGCAGTGTGGCATGGTGCATTGAGTAGTACTTGGTCTGTGAAAGGCTAACCTATTCTGAAATACATTTAGATAATTTAAAAAAGTTTTTATGATAGCCTATTATTCAAGGCCATAGCTAACATTTAAAGACACTGAGGGTAGGTCCTTGAGAATCTGGGGTTTAAATGAAATGAAGATGAGTTTACAGTAAGTAGAATTATTAGAATCAAATATATTAGTTTTTAAGGCTGATTCTGACACTATTATGTTGTTAGGCAAAATACCTTAATGCATTGTTTAAAGGTATATAGTTAAACATAACCTGGTAACGATCTAATTTTTATTAAATATAATTAAACAAATTAAACAGTTAAAAGGTGGCTATCCAACTCCAGCTTGACCGCACATGGACCATGGGACCATGGCTTGGACAGAGAGGAAAAAAAAACTGTTGTTGTTATGGAGACAGACACGCGCAGTCCCGCCCATCTCTAATGACGCCACATCCTAATAACGAGCCTTCTGATTGGCCGAGCGTCTCACGGCCGGGGGGGTAAAAATTGTGAATGGCCTCTCACTGACTGAGATGTGTAATGATTTATAATGTTTTATCGGCACTTGGCAGATGTTGTTTTTATTTGACGTGACGTTCTTCAGGACTGGATTGTAACGGGGAAACGATGTCGGACGCTGAAGGTGCTCGCAGTCCTGACCAGCTGAATAAATTCGAGAGACTGACACACAGGCCGCCGCACGGGGAGACGTTAGCAGGTCGGTCAACAACATTAGCAGCACATTCTAACGACGGGTTTTAACTTAACGTCAGCTCATTTAACCACTAAAATAAACACTGTGTGACTGAAACCAGCTGCTCCACACACAATACCACCTCTGAATGTTAGGAATGTAAACGTCGACCTCACTGGCGACATTGCTAACCATAACGTACACGCTAGCAACATTTTGCTATCCTACCTGTTTATCTTTAAATAGCATCTTAGCCACCATATGCATATTAATACACGGTAACAGCTACAGTGTGATTAAAAAGTGGTTATCATAGTGTTGCACCTTTTGTAAACCTCTGTCGTTCAGCTGCACAGCCAATTTAGTAAATTCATAGCTAACGTTACACACAGCCATTAACTACTAGGTGTTTCAGTAGTAGGTCTTTCTGTTACAGACCTGCAAACACCTTAATGCTAATTTTAAGGCTGTTTTAGGAGATTTAAGGCTGTGTACTGGATACCAATAATAATTTAACACAGTTTAAGATGATCCATCACATGTAGAAGCCTGAAGGATTGACTCTGATATCAAACAGTCTCCACTTGGCTGTTTAGTAGTGGATGTGAATGTGTGGTGCATCTTCATTAGAGATCCTGGTTCTGGTCTTTTTTTTGTGTGTCACACAGATAAAGTCTCAGGCCAGTTACACTCCCAGTAATGTATAGTGCACAGTCCAGCTCAGGTCCCTGTGACTGATATTGACATGCAGCTGTAAAAGATATTTGATGACCGAGACCTAACTGGTTACCATACTAGATACTTCCTTAAATGGTGTCATATTTCATTAGGTGACCTGGCATTTGCAACAAATGCAGAGAGAAACTTGATGCCAGTTCTTCTAAAGACCCAAACTCTTGCTGTGAGATGTTACTGCAAGTTTTTCAAAGTGTTTCCATTACAGCTCAGACATAACTGGTCGGCTATGATATATGTGGTGTAAAGAAACAGCCCCTTTCCCCCCGCAATTTGCATTTGTGCAGTCATTCTTGTGTTCATGTTCCAGCCATGTTGGTAGATGTTTGAGCCTGTCTCACATGTCAAAATTGAATGTAAGATTAAATTCAAGAATGTAGTCATGTGCAGCTCTTTGAAAACATGTTTGGCTGTTAATTTGGAAGAGTTTTGCTGATAAATATAACATTTATTGGAATGATAGAGGCACCTGGTCAATCATAATCTACTAGGATTTTATCAGAGTTGAGACAATAATATAAAACTTGCTAAACTGTGTTGCTACTGGCATTAAATGTGTATCCATGTGGATGTTAAATTATGCAGCTGCTCTACATTCTTGCGCTCCATCTCCATTACTAATCCCGATTATTAAAAATACACTGGTCTCCTGAAACGTCGGTGTTGAGTTTTAGGTAGGCCTCAGCCCTGCATACTATCATCATGTGCCTGCAGATTGAACATGCTAATCCCTCAGGCCAAACATCTCAGTGTCTCACAGGGTGATGTTTTATTCTCTGCTATTTGCATAGTTTTCCTTATGTGGTAAAACTGTGAGCCTCGCAGCCAGATAATACTGTGACTGGCTGATTATTTTAACTACAGCACTGAATGATATGAATGCACTTCTTTCTGACAGCTTTAGTGTCAGAGTGCCATTTAATTTGGACTGAACGACACAGCGCAAACACACAGTATAATGAGGAGGACTTTTCTGTTGCTTAAGTGCTACTGAAGGTTTTTACAGCTTATTGTTTCACTGCTTTCTGTCAGGGCATGCTGCGATATCCTTGAGCATTCTGTGAAAAGGAAGAATGAAAAGTTAATACACGCTCCCCCTCTCCTCATCCTATGACAATTTGTTCCTCCCTCTCTAGGTCATCGTACTCCCCCTGCCCGCAGTGGGCATCGCTGCGTTGCTGACAACACTAATCTGTATGTGTTTGGAGGGTACAACCCTGACTATGATGAGTCAGGAGGCTCAGAGAATGAAGACTATCCACTGTTCAGGGAGCTTTGGAGGTACCACTTTGCCACTGGCTGCTGGCAGCAGATTCGAACAGAGGGCTATATGCCCACGGAGCTGGCATCTATGTCAGGTATCTTATAGCTTTGAACATTTTGATACTTAACATCACACAAATCAAACAAAATCTAGTTTTCTGTTTAAAAAATGTGTATGAAAATTGAGTTTGGTGTTGCTGTGTTTTCTCAGCTGTTTTGCACGGCAACAACCTCCTGGTGTTTGGCGGCACCGGGATCCCCTTCGGTGAAAATAATGGCAATGACGTACATGTCTGTAATGTGAAGTACAAGCGGTGGTCACTGCTCAACTGTCGGGGGAAGAAGCCCAACAGAATCTATGGACAGGTAACCTCATAGATCACCTTGTTGTTTTTTTCTGCTCTTTGGGTCAAATTCAGTTAAGGGCTTTTAAACATTGTAGAGACAATATCCTGTCAGTCCAGTAGATTTACAACATTTTAAATTCTGATTTATTAGAGCTGCTTCTTACCAGGCTGTTACTTCATATCTTTCCTCCTTCAGGCAATGGTTATTATAAACGGCTTCCTGTACGTGTTTGGAGGGACAACGGGTTACATCTACAGCACAGACTTGCACAGGCTGGACCTGACGACCAGGGAGTGGATCCACCTCAAACCCAACAACCCTCCTGATGACCTGCCTGAGGAACGGTACGCCTGAATGCACAACAGGATCAAACAAAGCCAGGGATCTTTTCAGTGTCATAAAACTCCTTGACGTGTGTGTGTGTGTGTGTGTGTGTGTCACAGGTACAGGCATGAAATAGCACATGACGGACAGAGGATTTACATTCTGGGAGGAGGAACTTCCTGGACATCTTACCCTCTGGACAAGGTACTACATCACTAAGAGGATACTTTGCTCTGTGCTTCAGTTTTGTTTTGTACATGAGCCAAATCCATCTTCATCACTGCACCAAATGCTCACGTAGACTCAGTAAATATTGTGTCTTTTTATATAGATACATGCCTACAATCTGGAGACCAACTCCTGGGAGGAGATCACAACTAAACCTCATGACAAAATAGGTCTGTATCCTGCATCTCATTTTTTACTAATCCTGTTTTGTTTTTTTGTCACACCACTCTAAAATGTCTGCTTTTGACAGGGTATCCTGCTCCTAGGAGATGCCATAGCTGTGTACAAATACGAAATGGTGAGAGCTTTTCAATAATGCTGTGCATCACTACCACCTGATTAAAAAAAAAAAAAACCCAACGTAGTTCTGTTTCAAAGATAAATATGTGTTACTGACATTTAATATCACTTCCTCATATGTTTAATGTTCAGTTTGATTTGAAAGTAACTCCCTGCCAGCTAATGCATGTGCAACTACTTGAACAGTATCTGACTATTCACTCTTCTCTGTCGTAGATGTATTTATCTGTGGAGGCTACAATGGAGAGTTGATATTAGCTGATCTGTGGAAGATCAACCTGCAGACTTTCCAGTGGAGTAAATTACCAGCAGTGATGCCTGAGCCGGCCTACTTCCACTGTGCTGCTGTCACCCCAGTCAGTAGAACACTATTCCTTTTATTCTACGCATACACACCGGTCAGCCAAAACATTAAAACCACTGACAGATGGAGTTAAAGACACTGATCATCTTGTCAGAGTGCAGTACTCTGCTGGGAAGCCGTAGGTCCTGGCATTCATATGGATGCCACTTGACATGCACCACCGTTGTAGACCGAGTAGCGTCTTTCATGGCAACAGCATTCCCCGATAGGAGTAGTTAACAGTTCCTGAGTCAGTACCTCAACAGGTCAGAGCCAAGTCTGATCCAAGGAGGCCCAGCCGTGGATTTGGGGTACTTCTGAGGTACCAGCATGTCCCATTGATACTTGATCAGATTGTGATCTGGGGAAATTGGAGGCCATCGTGAAGTGCCTTTGCCATGAGGAGGTGTGCTTGGTCTGCAACAGTGTTTGGGTGGGCGAAGTGTGTCAAGTGGCATCTACATGAATGCCAGGACTAAAGGTTTCCCAGCAGAACACTGCAATGTAACAAGATGATGAGTGTTAATCACTTCACCTCATCAGTAGTTTTAATATTATGGCAGATTGGCTCAGTTGTCAGAATTTATCTGATCAGATTTCGGCTATTGAATCGGATAGAATCTTGAAAATGGGTTGTCCAGAAGAAAATAAGGATTCTGAAATCTGATTACATCACATAATCCGGTTTTGGTTTTGGTCGGGAATCAAATCTTCAGTATGTGTGGTTCAAAACTTTTGATGAGGATTGGGATAACTTTGACCCAGAAAATCACATGTATCCAGATCCCAGCTGATGTTTGGATTACAGGAATGCAATGCAGTAAAACTTTAAAAACTGATCAAATATATACAGTATATACATTTTTGTATATCTGGCTCTTGAATTGGTTCGCTGCTACAGTGTTAAAGAAAATAAAGTAGACATTAGACTATATTTTAAGCCTTTCAGTACGGTTAAAAAAAGAATACGTCCCCATAAAATAATCCCCCAAATCGCTGTCAATATCAAACAAAAAACATTTAAATTAACTCTTATTTATCACAAAAGACACCCAGATCATTCTGAACCAAATTTTTGAAGGATTGGATTGAATTGGAATTGCAGCAGTTTTAGAGGAACTGGGGAAGCTTAAAACTGTTGTCAAGCCCCAGTCTACATCTGTATTTAACGCTACACCGTATATGAAATCTATATCTTTCTCTCTTCCCCCTTACTCCGTCCCCAGGCTGGCTGTATGTACATCCACGGTGGCGTAGTGAACATCCATGAGAACAAGAGGACTGGCTCTCTGTTTAAGATCTGGCTGGCTGTGCCCAGCCTGCTGGAGCTATGCTGGGAGAAGCTCCTCAAGGCCTTTCCCCACCTGACTTCACTCCCCACCATGCAGCTGCTCAACCTGGGCCTCACACAGGAACTCATCGAACGCTTGAAATAGGACGCACAGTGGAGGACAGATGGACGGACGGACAAATGAATGGATGGGACGGGCCGGGCTGGACTGGGAGGAGATGAGGTCTGACAGAGCACAGAATTAAAATCATAGCAAAATTCTCGGGAAAACGCCCTTTCCCTCCCCTGCCTAACGTAGCCCCGCCTTAAAACCAAAAACAATGGGATGCCTTTTTCTTTTTGTTTGCCATTTTTTTCCTGCCAGTTTCAGTGATTGATAAAGAAAATAAATGTGGAATGTTTTATGGATTTTACTCAACTCAACTTTTCAGGGGGTATTTTCATCACCTGATATTGCGGTTTGCACACTTTGTCTTGCATATTTGTGGATTTTTTTTTTTTTTTTTTTAACAGATTCTATTAGCAGTCTATCATCAGTCAGACAGTGGTTTTATTACCGGCCATGCCAGTGTTTTTGCACATTTTAGCCCACTTAATTTAAATCCCATGTTAAATGTTTTTTTAGGACCTTCCAGGCAGCATTTTTATTTCAGTTATCCCCCTATTCCCCCAAATCAACTCCCAGAAGCTTGAGAGTTGCTTTACACAGTCAGTCACTCTGATTTTCATGTGTTTTTATTGTTGAAGTAATGTTATCCTTGCATAATTTTGACATAAATAAAAGCAGACAAGGTGGTTACTTTGAAGGATCTTAAATTCTAAGTTGTTTTTATACAATATAAACAGGAACCAGTGTCTGTCTGGAGGGAAGGAAAAACAATTTTAAAGTTTAAGTAGTGTGTTACTTGTGTTAAGTTAGCTAAAACATGTAGAAACACTGTATGCTCTTCATTAGGGTGCAAAAAAAAAAAAAAGGTTCAGCACTGGGTTTGCCGGTGTCCAAGCCCTTGTATTTCCTGTATTTTCCAGTATGCATTCTGTTTCAGCCGATTCTGGAAAACTGTCTGCAGCTCTCATTTGTAAACCAAACCACGCAACACGTCACTGTGAATTTGGTGCTCTTTGAAATTGATTTTTAAAAAAAATGCTTTTATTCGAATAAAGACTTATCTCTGTTCAGACTTTCACTCCCTCTCTGTGGATGACCCAAAGTGTTTTTGCACAGGGAGTTGCTTCAGTAGCAGGCTTACACAGACATCTGTTAATACTGCAGTGCCTTTTTTTCCAAACTTTTAACGAGGCTGAAATTTCACAAATATAGGCAGTGGTAAGATCTTTGCATGTTTAGACAAAAGGGTGTGTGTTGAAAATTGTGTTTTCAAGTAAGTGAACGTTTTAAACCATTTTCAACAAGCTGTTACGTTCAATCACTCAACATGTCGGTGGCAAAATTTTGTATCCTGTTTCAAGGATGCAGGAGCTTTGTGTTCTCGTCCTATTGACAGCCAAACAGTAGACTTCGCAGACTTAGATTTCACTCCGCTGTGAGGGTCCTAAGGACAGAGGGATGTTGTATGCTGTAAAGCCCTGTGAGGCAAATTGTGATTTGTGATATTGGGCTTTATAAATAAAATTGATTGACTGACTTAAGGACAGGATGCAGCATATTGGGCCTTTTGGGTATCAACCCTAAAAGCACTTCTTCAGCGTGTCAAGTTAAGGTGTTCAATACAGTTTTAATGTTTAATGAATGATTTTAAAAGATGCCAAATACGGTTGCAACCTGAGCAAAGTGATTATAATGAGGGAATGAGAGGTTAGGTGAGACCCAGGATGGGGTGTTGCCCAATTGTTTTATCTGCCTGCACTTCTTTACCTTGCCCCTTTTGTTTCTGTCTTTCTGTTCTGCATAACAAACTACTTTGTGCATGATGTCATTTCCTGCTTATCATCAGACCTTTTCTTTGGGACATAGTTTTAAAAGGTGACCACTAAAATGTTGTACAGTAGGCTTGTGTGAATGTTGTGCTGGAGTACTGTCAATAAAGGTGTTCTGTAAATAGCTCTCTGTTCCCCCGTTCCCTTTGCTTGCTGGCACAAAGCCAAGATATCAAAATGTAGCCGACATTTTTTAAAGAAGTTTTCCAACTATGTAGGTAGTCAAACACTGATTGAAAAGAGGTCTTATTTCACAGATGTTTTATAAGTTTATGCATTTATTGGGATATATCATAACCAGAAATGAATAGCACAAATTTACATTTAAATGCAACACAAACAACACAATTTCAGTATCACATACTTAGAAAAAGCGGACAGCTATTCACTTAGATCTGTAAAATTTCAATCAAAATCTTTTTCCATATTTTGTGCCACTAAGCCCACATCACCTCTAAGTATTAGTGGGTTTTTTTTGTTTGTTTGTTTTTTTATTATAGTGGCCTTTGGATTTTTCTTAGGAAGGTGATCGACAAGAGCGCGGAGAAGGAGCGAAGAAGTAAAGGGCCAAAAGGATGAGGTAGACCACCACTAGAGCAGTGCCTGCAAACAAACAGAGTTGATTATAATGTGTGTGTTGTTCCAGGCTTCAACTTGAACAAAAATTAAAGAAAAAATCCTGAAAATGTGATAAACTTCACACTTAACCCAACTGAAAATGTAATAAAACCCAATAAGGTAATAACCTGACCAATGATGTAATAAAATGTTCCTATACTAAACTATTTTGTTGGTCTGACTTACCTTGAAAGTAGTCACATTTTCCATCCATGAAAATGTAGTTGACCAGAATGACACTGAAGATGCTGGCCCAGAGATGAATATCACTGAACACAAGCACAAATCCAACATCCTGGTGGGAAAAGAGTTTGCTATGTCATGACTGAAACAACTGCATCATGTAAAGAAATTATTCATTGCAAAAACTGGGCACTTACATAGAAGGCATTGAAGAGTATGAGCAGGGGAATCTGAATCATGCAGACCTGCACTGCGATGCAGCTGCCCACTTCAAGGCTGGAGACAAAAATGAGTGAAAATGACAAATTACATATTGACCTATCACACATTTTTATTATCTATACATTAAATATTGTGTACAGCCTGGTAAAGTACTTAAATTGGACATATGAGGAACATTTAAAAGTAAAGCAGTGGAGAACCTTAGTGATCAAGCTGGAACATTAAAATGATAGAAAATCTCTGCTGTATGGAGGGGCGAGGTCATTTAAAACTTTATAAAGATGTAAAACAGATCAAAACAACTAATAAAATTAAACAACATTAGTGTTCTCGTACCTCAGGCTGATGTTGTTCTGCACTGCAAACTGGATCCCGTTGACAATCTCAGGAAGCTCTGGCACCATGGCCATCACTGTGACACCGATGAAGTACTGCATTGAGGTAGACAATTACAGATTTGTTTTCCAATTGCTAACAAGCATTTTCCTATACTTAAACTCTTAACACAGCAACACACCTAAATCACACGATTACCCAGCGAATACTGTCTTAATTAATACCAACTCTATATTTCATAATGCAACTCTCTACATACACAAACTCTATGAAAACACAGCAACCATACGCTATATCAAATCCTTTTTAAAAAAACAAAACTCTAGCACACCCTTTCTGTCCAAGAGGAACATATAGTCAATCACAGCATGAGGACTTTCAAATTACGAACATCTGATGGCATTACAAGAAGAAGACCAGTGGTTCCCAACTGGTGGGTCGTGGTAGCCTGGTTCCAGACCATAGACCCTGCCCACTCAACTGAGTAGGCTTGCATCTCTGGTCTGGCATACTTCAATGAATTTGCGATTTATCTTGTCCAAACGATGGACGGACCAATGAACGCTGGGGGTCTAGCGATTAGCCAATCAGCGCCACGCTGATGTCAAGCTGTACGCTGGTGGGTAACTGGTGAGGATAGCAACAATGGTGACCGCTACAGATCCTACAGACCACATTGACGATGCTATTGAGGTATTTCGCCACTACTCGCGTTAATGGAGGACCAAATTAAGGAAGCTGCTAAACTGGATTAAACGGCGATGCAGCTGGGTGTGCACAACGACGGAGACATTTTAAACGGGCAATGCTCGCTTGTTTTCGGCACCCCCGAGGCATGGATACTAATGACGTCAGATTCTGGGTGAGTCGTTGATCTCTACTGATTGGTTAGAGAAAAAATCAAATTCCCTCCCCCTTGTAAATCGCCTTCAATGGAAGCCATGTCAGACTGATGGTTCTGGGAGCTTCAGTCTGACACTCAGGCTAGGGTCGTGGTCCATTCTGAATGGACCGCAAGTGACTCGCAAACATGTCATCTTTGTAAAAAACACACTTTATTTTTAAATACAGAGAATTTCCGGCACAGAGCTTTTATTTTGAAGTGCCGTGTCCTGCTGTAGAGTAAGTGACTGATGGACAGCTACTTAACAGAGATGGCAAACTAGTTAGAAAACATGGCCAAATGCAAGTATGAGTCTGAATATAATAAACTGTAACCACCTTGAAATATGGACACTGTGGCTGGATCAGTTGGGAACCACTGCAATAGACAATGTGAAATCCATAGTTTTATTTTTTTTTTAATCATTCCAGTTTTTTAATGCAGACCAGTTTATTTATCAATCCAAAAGTCCCCTTTTTACTGTATATGTCCATGTAATTAACTTAAACACCTACCTATGCCTCTAATTGAGGAATCAGCTGTCAGTCATGGTCTATTTTACACAACTTAAATCAGCTATTTCTCAATGTTTCAATGATCTGTTCATTCAAAAATGCTCATCAGCCATTTCAATATAGCCTTTATGCTGCTGTTGTTGCATGAGTAGAGGCTTTTCACTATGTCTACACATTCAAAACTATACGGTTTTAAATGATAGTTTTCATTTCTGACATTCTGTGTGCCAGCATTTGTAAATTAGACAAGAAAAATCTATAATTTCAGTGTTGGGTTTGCTTGTATGTGAAGAAATTTTAAGCATTTTAGAAACATACTTACTGACTGCATATTCTGTGTTTTGAAAAAATGACTACAGACAGGACAAAATGATGTTAGTGATAGCAAAAAACTTCCTTCTTTAACGCTCTTTTTGCAAACAGCAAGTTGGATTTAATCATTCAAAAGTTTACCTAGCTTGTGACTTTTAGCTTGAATTGAAGGTTTGCATCATCTTCTAGAACAAGGACCAATGAATCGAAGTGACGTTTTCCTTCCCTTTTTAAAAAGAAAGCATTTTGAATACCTGGGAGACGGAGGAATGGGTCAGCATGGGCTCGATGTTCTCCGTGCTGAGGTCAGCGCAGCAGGCCATCAACACTGTGGCCACAATCAGCACTGCAAGAGCCCTCCACCTGGACCAGTGCACTACATGATGACCTGTGGGTGAAATACACACTATTACCTTAGCGACGTTTAACATTTATGACTTACCTCACTGTTGCAGGACGCTTTTCTCCCCTTCCACATCCATCCAGTCCAGTTCGGAAGTTTGAACTTTCTTCTGTATTTCATGCTTTATAGTTTTGGCATGCACAGGCACAACTTCCCTTACATGCACAAATATAGCAGGCAACAATTAGTGCTTCAAAATGTCATGCGCCATCACCACAGAGACAGAACACTACATGCACACCCACACACACACCTGTTCCAACGTGGCTGGTGGAAAAAATGCTGGTATTGATACATGTGTTGGCTCCAAGGGGATGGCCAGTGGTGACCTCACCAGTGGGGTGATAGCTGCTGGTACCCTCTTGTGCGTACTGACCGTGTGCATGCCCCCCTTGACCATCACTGATATGGATGTCATAGATGTGGGAGTGGGTTTTCAGTGTGAAGATGAGGCCGATCAGGTACGCAGCAGGCAGCAGCACAGAAATTGTGTACACCAGGGGCCTGGAAAACATTGATGTTTTTTTAAATTTAATAAATAGCTAAACACTGTTGAGTTAAATGCTTTGGAAAACTGCTGCAATTTCTGCACCTGAACTTACTCAATCTGGGACAGGATCAACTGCGGGTCAGCTTGACTCTGTAAAAAAACAACAAAATGGAGGTGGAAATTAAGCCGTGGAGACCGATAAAGATTTAATCTTCACGCTAGGCGTGTGTGTGCTGATACAAACATCAGGTCAATGATGCCCTGCAAACATTAATCACACTGCTGCTGTGAAGTCGCTCACCGTGTCGTAGTGACAGTCCTTGCAGATGAAGGGAACGCTGCCATTGCCTGGAATATTGGTGCAGCTTTCACACACCAGATTACCGAAGGTCTTTGAGAAGAGGGTCGGAGCGAACACACCTCGGGACAATATCACAACATGATGTTTAAGTTTTATCAATCTATTAGTGGAGGACATGCGGTTTAAAAATGAGTTATAGGTGTAGCTGCCATACATACCTCCTACGGATATGAAGAGCAAAGCCGAGCTCACTCCGGCTGAACGGCTGTTAAATCTCTGCTCCCTGTGTCTAATGCCCCCGATGATCATACAGATACCCTGTGCAGGCCACAAACACACACAGACAGCAAGCAAGAGGTTCATAATTATATAAGGAGGATCATAATGCTACATGTTAAAGGAGCAGTGTGTATTAGGGGGATCTGCCTTGATTCTTGGTGTCATAGATTCAACAAGGTGCTGGAAACATTCCTCAGAGAATTTGGTCCATAATGACATGATAACATCACACAGTTACTGCAGATTTATCGGCTGCACATCCATGATGAGAATCTACCGTTCAACCACATCCCAAAGGTGCTCTATTGGACTGAGATCTGGTGACTGTGGAGGCCATTGGAGTACAGTGAACTCACTGTCATTGTCAAGAAACCAGTTTGAGATGATTTGAGCTTTGTGACATGGTGTGTTATCCTGCTGGAAGTAGCCATCAGAAGATGGGTACACTGTGGTCATAAAGGGATGGACACGGTCAGCTACAATACTCAGGTAGGCTGTGGTGTTTAAACCGTGCTCAGTTGGTACTAAGGGGCCCAAAGTGTGCCAAGAAAACATCCCCCACACCATTACACCACCACCAGCCTGAACCATTGATACAAGGCAGGATGGATCCATGATGCCAAATTCTGATCCTACCATCTGAATGTGGCAGCAGAAATCCAGACCCATCAGACCAGGCAATGTTTTTCCAATCTTCTATTGTCCAGTTCTGGTGAGCCTGTGTGACCTGTAGCCTCCGATGCCCTAGAGATGGTTGTGTGTGAAAATCCCAGTAGATCAGCAGTTTCTGACACCAACAACCATGCCAGTCACTTAAATCCCCTTTCTTCCCCATTCTGATCATCAGTTTTAACTTCAGCAGGTCGTCTTGTCCATGTCTACATGCCCAAATGCGTTGAGTTGCTGCCACGTGATTGGCTAATTAGCTATCTGTGTAAATGAGCAGTTAAACAGGTGTACCTCATAAAGTGGCAGCAGCAGCTCTGCTTGCATTTTGCAGCCTCACCACTAGATGCCACTAAATCGTACACACCGCCCCGTTAACTGATATGTACACATGTTCATTTGTTCTTCTCAGGCGCTCACCGGTATGAACAGGATACATCCGAGCAAGGTCCCAGTGAGCGCTGCTTTGACAACCTCTTCATAACATTTGCTGGCAGCACTGTGTCCCCGCAGCAGGGCTGTGATGTAGAACGTCATCTCTGTGATGGAGCCAAATGTTGCGTTTACCACAGCTCCCACTGCAAAGTTACTCTGTGCAGAAAGACTGTGGTGACACACACAGTTACTGATAAACCAACCATTCAATATATTATTGTACATCAGAATTCAAAAGGAGAAATCACACCCGAAGTCTGAACTTTCTCCTTTCATTCACATTCATCTACCAGACTGAGGTAAATGTGAAAACCTGTCACCTGGCTATACCCATGCCAATGTAGTAGGACAGAGGAATAATGGAAGCGATGGCTGTGGCAAACTTGGTCTCTGCGCTGCAGAAACTGTGTTCCTGGTCAGTATAGCCGATAATGAGAGCGATTAATACCAGGGGAAGCAGGTCTGCAGGGAACATAGACTTAAGGAGAACAAATGGTTGGGCAGTAGACAGACCAGTACATCTGTAGAACACAATGCAATGTTTTTAAAAGTCCAGATTGACTGGGGATAGCAAATACATATTACTCTAAAAGGACGGATAGCTGCATAAACTCTTAGCTTGTACTTTGTTTTTAAAACCAGAAATGACAGAGAATACAATTCAGGTTTGCCTGTCTCTTGCTTGTAATTGGACACACTGGTTACACAGACAACTCCACCATAACCCTTTTTTATTTTGAGTACACAAGAGACCAGTATATCAAAATACAATCTAATGGTGCCAACACTAGCCTCTTACAAGCCCCTTACTCAATCGACCGAAAAAAGGATACTGAGAGCGAAAATGCTGATTCCCTGGACAGTGTATTTGTAGAAATACACATTGAAAGCTTGATAACAGCATAAGATGACTCTGGTCTCACACACAGATGTCTGCAAAAGAGAACATTAAACACACCTCAAGTTGCAAATTAATTATTAGATGTAAACAGTCAATTAATTGTTAAGGTTAAGGTTTTGAAGGGCCAGTTTGCACACAGAGAAAAAAAAACTGCTTTCTTCTAGTGGTATTTAGATATGAAAAACTTATCAGCGACACGTCTTTCCAAAAAGAACATCCTGGTTAATCTGGATAGATTACAATGTCAATGTCATTGTCCGTGTTCACGGAGCTACCACTATTGAAGTCAGTTCCCAATGAAAACTGTCGATAACATTTGCAAATAAATCTTTTTACAGCACATGTTACATGCCCCTTAGGGCATGTGTGAACTATATTCTTTGTGATTTGGATGAACTAATCAGATTGGCCACTGCAACAGTTAATGCCACCATTCAAATTAACATGTGTAGCACTTCAGTTACATGTTACCATAGCGAATGAGGAGGCTATAAAAACCTTGTGCTTGGTGTTCTGACAAGCATGACCAGGACAGCAAAGGAAAAAAATACTGCACACATTCCTGGCCTTGACATCGTTCTCTAAACTAACCGCTGACATTTCACTCTAGTTTCCTGTGTGTTTTATAATTGATTTTTAAATTGTGTTATCATTACTTGACAAAGTGGACATAACTCACTGACTTTCTAACAGATTTATGAGCCTGAAGACTGCCTGAAATCCTCCAGCAGAGGTCTGCTGTGCCGTGTTTCTACCAGAAACTTTCAGTATAGTACCTTAAACACCGTCCGTAACCCTTATGGGCATGTACCTCGACCCAAGCTCTGTTTCCCATTTTCACTGTGGAGAGTAGTTTCCAGGTTTCACCTTAAAAGTTGTTGGTAGCTGCCAATGGTAGCTTTGAATGGCACAGTGAAATCAAATTTTTTTTAGTCCTTAGCTTGTAAATGTTAACTAGTAAAGCTGTACATGCTTTTATTTTAAAGCTATAGTTTACTGATGCATCAACAGTCTTCAATGCTTCAGAACCAGACACAGCTCCCCTGAGCATGAGTGACGGTTCTTTATTGACCAATTTACGGACGTCGTTTTTCTAGCTCCACCTTTTGGGATCAGTGTGGTAGGTACCTCACAGAGGGGTGATAAAAAATGGGGACCGTAAGGAGCGGCTCTATTGGAGCCATCCAGAACTTTTCACAATGGAAACGGAAAAATAATTGCTCTAATGTGTACTGGACTGAATTAACTGAACCGGACTGCTTGACTTAAGTAATTCCTAGTTCAAGGCTAAAAACCAGGGGTTTCATTTATAAAACTATGTGTAGGATCCATACTTAAATGTATGTACAAAAAGCCAAAAATGGCTCGTGCCAAAAACTATTCGACAATTTCTACAATCAAGCTTCCAGCTCACCGTCGACGTTGCCAATTTCCTGTCTCCAAAATGTTCCTAAGCATGGGTCAAAGTTTCCCCCATCAAGTTGTTTTGTGCATTTGCTATGTTCATAAATGAGACCCCAGAGGACAGCGAGCCTTAGGAGTCACAGCCCCATGACTCTGGAACGACACGCTGGAGGAGATCAGTCAGGCTTGAGCTGTTTATTTTTTCTAGTCTGTCTTTAAAACGCACGTTTTAGAATTGCTTTCTCTTGGATTGGCTGTTCTTCGGTTTTACTTTCACTTGTTTTACTGTGTTTTAATAACTCCTACCTCGCTTTTCATGATTACTGTATCAAAGCTTCTTTAATTTATTATTTATCTGGTAATTTCTCTTGTTTTTTGGCTTTGTAAAGCACTCTGACTTGTTATTGAAAAGTGCCATATAATTAAAATTATTATTATTACTATTATTATTTAAAATGACCGCGTACCTTTTCCAGTCGGTGAATATGAATGTCTTCTGGTGCCATGAGAAGAACAATGGTTAGCGTGCGAGCGTTCATCTTGGCTACAGGTATAGAGAAGACCAGCAGCCAGGACAGCACACAGGCCAGGGAGTGGACCACAGCCATGACAGGGTAACCCAGCACTAACCAAACATATGTGCTGATGCGACACTGCAGAGGACAGAATAATCTATATATTACTAAATGTTCATTGCACCGAGGTGATTATCGTGACTAACCTTCTCACCCAGTGAGTTGAAGTTTTTCTAGCTGGTGGCTCTGGGACAGGTATCTCAACAGGAATTGGGGAAGACATCAGAAGAGGCGCAGAGTCCTTGTCCCTGACATGGTCCTTGCTGTTTTCAGTGTCACTCTCTTCAGGAATGACCTCGCACTTTGGAGGCTTTGCAATGGATCTCTTAACTACATCACCAGCCTGGAAAAAGACAACAGGATATGGTGAATAATTAATTTTGGCTACTTTTGCAATGGCACTTTAATACTGGAATCCCATGAACAACAACCTGAAAAGTAAGGACACTGCATATATCACATTACCTTTTCTATCGACTTCCCAAATGGCCAAATAAAGTACCACCCCATCTTTAAACAAAGTTTTCCTAAAAAAGATGAATACAATAAAATGATATTCCATATTTTGGGGCATACTACGATACTCTGAGTGAAGCAGCTGGTTCATAGGACACATACCATAAGGGGCACCGACGATTGTTAGAAACATTACAGGACAAATGAGGAAATACATTAAAGATATCCACCATCCAAATAAAAACACATAAACTATGTTCCCAAAGGTGGGTGCTGAGCCTGAAAGAGAGGACACAACAGGTTATTGCTTTACCATAACCATATTTATCTGCGTGAAAATGTAGATCCTGCTCGACAGAATTCAAGTGCAAAGAAAGAAAAAAAGACCTTCTTGAGGCTTGACAATGCTAAGATCAGAGTGTAGCTCTTTGATGATGTCTGATCTGTCCTCAATGGGCTTCTCTGTAACATTGCCCTTCCACTTCCTGAAGCCAAACTGACAAAAACAAAAACAAAAACAAAAAATAATGTAATTTTGGACCAAAAGTATGTCACACAAAACAATAAACGTCTAAACAGTCTTGTATATCCCACATATGAGATTCAAACTTAGTTCAACTCCACATTAACACAGTCATGACCCACCTTGTAGTTGTTGGCCTCCCTGTGTGCCTCCACCTCATTCTCAGCTCTGATTGTGGTCTTAGTGGTGCCTTCATGCCAACCCTCGTCTCCGCAGCGGGACGGAGTAGATCGGGTGGTTCCTTGTCCTCCTGCGCAGATCACAACAGTGAGAAAACTCTTCCACATAGCAAGACAAAGAAATTTTACCCGCCAAAACAGCAGTGATCCACGCTCTCCTCCTCTCAGTTGACTTTTCTGTCAAAATAATTTACGACAACAATAATTTTTGTGGAATCAACAGCAGCTCATCACCTCTGTGGACGGTGAGGAAACATTTCGGTGTGTAGTGGCAGAAGTGGCGGGCAGAAGCATCTGGGGAGGGCGTCTCCGCTGCGCCTAGCTCTGGATGCTGGGGGCCAACGCAGAGCCAATCATTTTGAGACTGTCGCCGTGGAAACCGGGGATGCTGTTCAGGATCTGCAGAGATCTCTGAATAAGGAAGCAGAGTTATAGATTTAAATGACACAAATAAATAAATGTGTGTGTGTGTCTATGTGTGTCTCCATTAAATCAGACCTTACATGCCAGCTTGAAAAGGTGTGCTTTCAAATGGGATTTGAAAGTAGAAAGGGAGTCAATATTGTGAATGTTGTGGGGGAGAGTTCCAGAGGCGGGGGACAGAACGGCTGAAGGCTCTAGAACCCATGGTAGTCAGTGGGTGGAGATGGAGATGTGAGTTGGATTGCAGAAGTAGGATCTAAAAGTACGGGAGGGCGTGTAGATATGAAGGCGTTCAGACAGGTAGGAAGGGGCTTGATTATGAAGGGGTCTTAAAGGTGAGAAGTACAATCTTGAAATCAATGCGATATTTAGCAGGAAGCCAGTGAGGTTGTTGAAGAACAGGAGTGATATGATCTGTGGAGGGGGTTGTGGTAATACATGCAGCTGAATTCTGGACCAAATGGAGTTTACAAAGACACTTGAGAGGGAGACCATAGAGGACATAATTGCAATTATCAATAGGGATGTAACCAAAGAATGAATGATGATGGCAGCGCTCTGAGGTGTGAGTGACAGGCAAAGATGATTAACATTTCGTAGATCAAAGTATGCAGACTGGGTAACATTATTGATGTGGGCCTCAAAGGACAGTGTACTATCCAGGAGGACACCCAGACTCTTAACCTGAGGGGATAGATGGAATTTGGAGTTATCAATGGTTAGAGAGAAACTGTGCAGTTTAGCCAAAGTAGATTTGGTACCCAGAAGGAGAACCTCAGTTTTATCACTGCAAAGTTTGAGGAAGTTGCATGAAAGCCAAGATTTATTATCCAATAAGCAGTCAGAAAGGGGTTTGGGGGGGTGGGGGGAGAGTGGAAGTAGGAATGGTTGCCAGATAGAGCTGGGTGCCATCAGTGTAGCAGTGCAATTGAATGCCAAATTTTCTGCAGATATGGCCAAGAGGTTAAAGGTAGATAATAAATAAAAGGGGGCCCAGGACAGAACCCTGAGGAACACCACTAGCAACTGGGAAAAAAAGCTGGATTGGGAATTTTTCATTTTGAACAAAATGAGTGCGGCCAGAGAGATACAATTTAAACCAGTCGAGAGCAGTGCCAGTGATACCAATGGTAGCTTGTCTCTCTAGAAGAATGTTATGTGAAATGGCATCAAAGGCCGCACTTAGATCAAGAAGAGCGAGAATATTTAAAAGCCCAAAGTCAGCAGCCATTAAGAGATCATTAGTGATTTTTACCAAGGCTGTCTCTGTGCTGTGAAAGGAGTGAAAACCGGACGTAAATTGCTCCAACAGATTGTTGTGACTAGGCTGAGTGTGAACCTGAGCTGCAACTGATCTTTCAAGAGTTTTAGAGTGAAACAGTACAGTTGAAATTTGTCTGAAATTTCTCAGGTTGTTGGGATCTGCACCATGGTTTCTTTAGTATTGGGGTTATAGTAGCAGTTCTGAGAGATGTGGGCACAAGACTAGAGGTAAGGGAGGAATGTATAATCTCAGTTATTAAGGAGGAGAGGGAAGGAAGTTAGATGTTCACTAGGTGAGTCAAAAACATTGAGCAATGCTTTGGCGTGCTATTATAT